ACCAGCTAGACTGACCTCAGTCCCGCTGTCCCTTACCTGGTTATCTTGCTCCCCCGGGTCAGGAATCCCCCGCTCCGGCTCCTCACCACCAGGCTCGTCGACAGCGGGCTCCTCCGCGGTTAGCGCCGCCGGGAAAGGCTCATCCGCGGCCGGCGCAACCCCAGCAGACATTTCCGAGGCCGGCACGGCCGCAGCCGGCTCTTCCCCCGCAGGCGCCGCAGCCGCCGGGTCCCGAGCAGCAGCCGCAGGGGGGACGGCCACCGCGGGCTCAGCCGCGGCAGGCCCCGGCCGCTCCGCGCTCCCGGCATCATTAGCGTTAGCACCGAGTTTTTCAGGGCAGGCTCGGACGAGGTGTCCGGTCAGGCCGCACCTGAAGCACTTCATGTTGGTGTCAGACGACACAAACACCGTGTACTCGAACCCCTCCACTCTGAACTTCAACACCAGGTCCAGCTCGTCCTCACCATCTCTCAGCACCATGAACACCAACCTCCTGAACGACACCAGGTGCTTCACCAGGGGCGATTAACAGCCGAGGGGGATCTTTTTAATGGGGGAGACAAGTTTTCCAAACCGGGACAGCTCCTGAGCGATCAGCTCGTCAGAGATAAACGGGGGGACGTTGGACAAAATGATCTTTTTGGACGGAGTACTGAGGGGCAGAACAGACACGAACTGATCATTAATCACGAGTCCACTCTGCACCAGTTCATTAGCTTTGTCCACAGTGGACAGGAACATTACCACAGCGCTGTTCATGCGCGAAGCAGACACAACATTATTGTACCCGACGACGCTCCCCGCCGCCAAACAGCACTCCTCCACACTCGCGCGGCACTCTACCTTTACACCATGCCGGCGAGACAGGCTTTCATACAGCCTGGGGCTTTGGGACGCCATGCTCCCAGCAAAACGCCGGTAACAGACGCCCCGCACACACCCCACCACACCTCACTCACACTCACACTCACACACACACACACACACACACAAACTCACTCAAACAAACTACAGATACAGACTGACAACGACGTAACAACAGAGAAAAAAGTTTGGCAAAACGCCAACCACGCTCACCGCGCTCCGCTCACTCTACCGCTCACACCCGCGCATGCGCAGAGAGAGAGAGAGAGAGAGAGAGAGAGAGAGAAAGAGAAATAACAGGTGGGGACTGAATACTGTGTGTCAAAGTTATGATGTATGGTAAACAGGAGTTGCTAAAACTCTCCAAACACATCTACACAGAGAGAGAGAGAGACACAGAGAGTCACAGAGAGATAGACACAGAGAGAGAGAGACAGAGAGAGAGAGAGCGAGAGAGAGACAGAGAGAGAGGGTTTAGGGCTGTGCCTGTTATATAACTCCAAACTTCAGAGGACGCGTCCTGCGCGCCATCAGCCCTGCGTTAATCTTTGTTGTTGTACATATACAGCGTTTGGGGAACGTGCGGCAGGGAGCTGACAGGAACCTGGCGCTTTATATAACTCTGAGGAACAGAAGAGCTTCAGCACTCAAACCCGTACACACACATCAGCTCATCACAAACACAAAGCAGCCGCTGCGAAGGTCACACTCAGCGTACAGACGACGCACTGAGCCAGACAGAAGCAGCAGAAACTCCACCGAGTTTAAGGGTTCACAGTGAACCGCTGCACCTGCTGTTCAGGGTCAGGAATCAAATTCAGATGGAAGAGTTTCACGCTGTATATCTCTGCGTAACATTTTTGGATACAAGACTTTGAAAAGAATAACAGCTGACGTATGATGGAAAGCACTTTTACCCTGTTCTTCAGCGGTCAGGACCCCCGTGGACCCTCACAGAGCAGGTACTATTTGGGTGGTGGATCATTCTCAGCACTGCAGTAACACTGACGTGGTGGTGTGTTAGTGTGTGTTGTGCTGGTACGAGTGGATCAGACACAGCAGTGCTGCTGGAGTTTTTAAACACTGTGTCCACTCACTGTCCACTCTGTTAGACACTCCTACCTTGTCAGTCCACCTTGTAGATGTAAAGTCAGAGACGATAGCTCATCTGCTGCTGCACAGTTTGTGTTGGTCATCCTCTAGTCCTTCATCAGTGGTCACAGGACGCTGCCCACAGGACGCTGTTGGCTGGATATTTTTGGTTGGTGGACTATTCTCAGTCCAGCAGTGACACTGAGGTGTTTAAAAACTCCAGCAGCACTGCTGTGTCTGATCCACTCAGACCAGCACAACACACACTAACACACCACCACCACGTCAACAGACGCTCAAGTGCAAAGTCAGGTTACTGTTTATCTGCTTCCCCCACAATCAGCTTCTGTCTTTGGTGATCTTAACTAACTAGATCTGCTGCACTGCTCTGCCTCAGGGTGGCGCTGAAGCAGACTGGCTCACCCAGCTGGTTCTTCATAGCCTAGAAACTGTAACTCTGCCCGGATTCCTCTGAAACACTACACTGGCTGTGTTTACATGCAAAGATTTTTGCCAATCTGATTGAATACATTATAGATTAAGACTGAGGTGTTTATTCTCACTCTACTCAACAATCTGATGAAAATCTCAGTTTACATGCTCACTATAAGTAATCAGATCCAAAATTACACACACACGTAGAGAACCGCTTAATGTAGACATTACCATGACAACCAGCATCACATGAGTCCAGTCAGAGTGAGATGAGCAGCAGTGAGCAGCGCTTGTGTTTTTAACTGCTTTTAAATGATGTCAGACTCAGGAAAACGTCCTTCACATGTCCTTATTAAAGAAGGCCGAGAGGAAGACGTCGTGTTCTGAGACACATAAGCTGGACGTCCGTCCCATCGCCGTCTTTTAAAGATCAGAGCATAAACTTCGTCTCCTCTGCAGACCAGTTTCTGCTCCGCCATGTTGAACGGTATAAACTTTCATTATGACGTGACGAACACGATCAGAACGGACTTAAACTTTCCGATAGGGAATGTAATCAGATACAGGCATTTACACGGATATTATTCTTCTATTTAACTGATCATTTACAGGATTACCCACCTCGATCAGTCGGATAGAAACTGTATTCCGAATGGCCTCAATTGGACTAGACTATTCCGATTGAGGTGTTTACTTGGACGTGTTCTGCATGTTAAATGTGGCTAATGACAGCTGTACGTTCGTGTGCTGCAATTATATATGAATTATTTGTCATTCGTAGCTCATTGAAAAATTGCATAAACTGTTGGAACGTGCAGTTTCTAAACTTTCAATCCAAACCACGTTTGTGTCTGTAAGTGGATGAAGAAATATTTCATCACGATTTGAATTTGATGAAACTTAATACTGTTTTATAGAAGGAAAAAATGCCATGTTTTTGCCATTTGGACACCAAAACAAACAGAAAAAGTCAGAAGTGCAGAATCAAACCTGTCGAATGTAAATGTTTTTTCACAACTTTGTACATTATTGCATAAGTATATCATAACATTTAAATAGTGGGAATAATGGCAGTAAGTCCAGAGCTGCTCCTTCTTAATGAACGGTACTGAAGTGAAGCAGAGGAAAAAATAAGGCTGCATGTCTCTGCCTGAGTCGTGTGTGGCTTTCTCAGTCTGCTGATGACACACAGCAGAGGCCCAGACCCAGACATGCTTATAAAACCGGTTTAAAATATCACCACGGAGGTTCAACATGTTCTAATAATGGATCAGACTGAAGGCAGCAGTCAAGGTTCTGTTCTCTGTAATGTCCCCGGACATTTATTCCCTGAACATGATTTGCTGTTGTACCGTAATGAACTCAGTAACTCAGGTTGTCTCACAATGTTCAGTTCATTAAAACCGAATCCAGTGGGTGACATGAACTCTGTGAACCGCAGTGGGGAGTCTAAGCTGTTCTTAACGAGAGAAGAACAGCTAAGATAGGAAAGAACAGCATTGCTGCCTGAACAGAACTGTGGATCTACATTTTTGTTTTTTGTAATTGTTTTGTATAATTTACCTTCACGGTGGGTCAAAATCTCATGATGAATAAAGTGAATTGGTCCAAAATGACTCAGAATTAAATCTTGGTATGTTAACTTTCATTGAATGTTTTTTACTGTAAAGTTACTGTTATATCACCCGTAAAGTTACTGTTTTATGTTCTGTAAAGTAACAGTTTTATCTCCTGTAAAGTTACTGTTTTATCTCCTGTAAAGTTACAGTTTTATTTCTTGTAAAGTTACTGTTTTATGTTCTGTAAAGTAACAGCTTTATGTCCTGTAAAGTTAGTTTTATTTCTTGTAAAGTTACTGTTTTATCTCCTGTAAAGTTACAGTTTTATCTCCTGTAAAGTTACAGTTTTATTTCTTGTAAAGTTACTGTTTCATCTCCTGTAAAGTTAGTTTTTTCTCCTGTAAAGTTACAGGTTAATGTCCTGTAAACTTACTGCTTTATCTCCTGTAAAGTTACAATTTTATCTTTTGTAAAGTTACAGTTTTATTTCTTGTAAAGTTACTGCTTTATCTCCTGTAAAGTTACAATTTTATCTTTTGTAAAGTTACAGTTTTATTTCTTGTAAAGTTACAGTTTTATCTCCTGTAAAGTTACAGTTTTATCTTTTGTAAAGTTACAGTTTTATTTCTTGGAAAGTTACAGTTTTATCTCCTGTAAATTTACAATTTTATCTTCGGTAAAGTTAGTTTTATCTCATGTAAAGTTACTGTTTTGTTTCTGGACAAGATAATTAAGTCATGGCCACAACTTAGTAAGGCATGGGAATGAGATCCTAATGCATGGCCATGACTTAGTAAGGCATGATCTCGTTCCCAAGCCATACTAAGTTAAGGCCACGACTTAATTATCTCATTTCCATGTCTTACTAAGTCATGGCGACGCATTAGGATCTTGTTTCCATGCGTTAATAAGTCGTGGCCATGCATTATTTTATTCAGATGTGATGTCACCAGCAGGCCTCCGTACTTCACACTTCCAATCTGCACAATGCTTTGGAGACAAATACATTCTGAAAATGAAATATGCTTTTGCACTGAGGGGAATACGTACCCTGGACGGATCCTTCAGAGAACCTGCAGAAACAGAGAGAGAGATTAGAATCTGACCTTTACTTCAACAATGTGTCCACTGAATTTAGCAGCTCGCAATACAAAATATGACATTCCTTCTCTAAATATGACATTTTTGGATCATAGTTATATTTCTGACAAAGACAGTTCACAGGAAAACTGTACCACGTCAGCAGCTCACACATCATTTAAGCTTTACAATCTTAAAAACGATGGTTCTTCAAGGGTTCTTTAGTAAAGAAAATGGTTCTATATAGAACCATGAACACTCAAAGAACACTTTGCATGATTAAAGGGTTCTTCTCATCATGAAAAAGTTCTTTAGATTGATGAAGAATGTGCTGTAGGTGGTTCTATATAGAACAGTCTTGAAAATGGTTCTATGTAGCACCCAAAAGGGTTCTTCTTTTGTTATTAAAGAAGGGTTCAAAGGTTCTAAAGAACACTTGGAGAACCACTCTTTTTTAAGAGAGCAGAATCCTCTCTGTCGTCAGTCAGTGCTTTAAAACAACATATTAAAGCTTCATTGAAGTACAATGTTGCCAGTCAAACGTCCACAGAATTTAGTGCTGCATAAAGCAGATGGACTGACCTCAGCTGTGGCCTGAGGATGTTCTAGAATGTACACTGTAACACAAGCGGCTTTCTTTACAGGCTTGATATCTGCTAGTCACAGACCCGACCCTGAGCGCATTCAACCAGCGTAGCTCAACAGCCTCATTTACACAACAATCTCATCTACATTAGGTAGAATAAATGCAGAATTAACCCTCTCATGTCTTCTTAAATCCCCCTTTAAAGGCTCTTCTTATAACATGATGCTCATATGTTTCATATCTAAATGCTCCGTTATCTTCATCACTACTTTCTAAAACCGCTGCAGCAGCTTCAGCAGCTGTAAACTCTCTGCACGCCGTTTCACATGAGTCTCCGATGTGGACTGAATGAACAATGAAGGGTTTCCGGCGTGATGGTCAGTCCTTAGTGATTTCCTGAGTGTCCGTTGGTCAGTTTCACACAGAATGTAGACGGACACACGAATCCACCAGTTCCACACGGTGAGAGGCAGATGACGTGTATCTCAGCCCCTCTTCATAGGCTCATAACTCCGGATGTGAGTCTCGTATGATCTCGTGATGAGATGGAATGGAAAGGGCGACTCTACAGATTCAGGAACTGTTTGAACTGGATTTCTGCGCTGGATCATCACAAAGATACAGAAACAGATATAGAAACAGAGAATCTGACTCGCAGGTGAGTTTGTGGACCCCAAAGGGTTAAAGGCTTTCAGACCACCCAACATATTGTTCTCATGTGGGAATACTAGCGTCTTGCTGTGCTTTGCATGGAATAAATCAATACATGAACGATTTGTTTTCAAACTGGTGTTAAATGAGTTTTTACTGTCACTGACCAATAAAATTGGCTGGTATCATTTCATGTTTATGTTTTAAACTTTAAACTAATGATTAAAATAAAAAGAAATAAATGTGATGAAAATTTTTCTCAGTTAAACGTGCTTTACTGACATATCAGATTGCCAGTTCTCCTTGGTCCCACTTTTTAAACTAAAATAAACAGGAAAAACAATCTTAATGTAAATGCTGCACCACTGAGTGGGGGAGCAACCCAGAATGCTATACAGTTGGTTATGGTTGACTTGAACCCAGGGCATTAATAGAGATAGTATTACTCTGAATACAGAAAAGTATATATTAATATATAAACTATATTATATAAAGGAGGTGTCTGTCGCAAACGCTAACCCCTAAATTTACACATTTTTTTCTTTCTTTTTTTATTTTACTATTTTTGATTTCTTTTAAACTGGAGTTGAAAGGTTTGGATTTATCACGAGCTTCATTTTTCAATTAAAAAAAAAAAACTTTATTCAAAAAATACTGTCCCATGTTTTCATGTCACTACCGAAACACAGTTTTACTCTGTAGGTGTAGCCTTATTTTAGCCACGCCCCTGTATTTTAGAGCAGGAAGTGAGGCTGCATCCCTGTCCCTCGTGGCCACATGGCGAGCAGTTAGATCCCATTGTTTTGAAGTAAATGTGTCCCAAAGTCTGAAACTCAGTGTGGAACATTCAGAATTGTCACTACCGAAACTCACAAATTAAACTTTTGTGAGTTTTAATGAAAAATATTATGATTTTATTTGTGTACAGCTGTGTTTGCTGGTCATGTACTGGCTAGTGTTTTTGAATTGAGCTACTGAAACAGTCACTACTGAAACATTCGGTAAATGGAATGTTTAATAATTTATTTTAATAAAATTACATAATTAAAGTATGGGATCATTCAAAACAAAAGGATTTTAGTCTCAAGACCAAGTCAGTAAAAAGTTCAAGATGTATTTAGAACTCCGTCTTTAAAACGAGTTCGGAAAAAATTATCCATCTCTGCCTTAAAAACGGCTTGTAAAGTTTCACTTTAACTCTATATTAGCATAGAAACCAGCTCACAGATCTGTGGGGTGAAAGCAGACAGCGCTGAGCTCCCTGAACCCATTTCCCCTTTAATCACCCCGCCAGTGTAACTGAATCAGTGACTGGGTGAAAGAAATGCAGTGGTTTCTTCTTCTTACATACACAAGTTAACACTTCACTCTGGAGCATGCATGACAGATGAAGGTCTATATACTGCAGGGGGAATTTCATCCTTTTTTCAGCACTGAGGTCTGAGCTTCTTTGCCATTTCCTGTCTGGATCCTGATGAATTCTATACTGTTCTATTAATTACAGCACAAACAGACACATTTCCAGAGATTTCACTGAGGAGTTCAGACACAATGAGCCAGTACGATACCTGCATCTCCGTTCTCTGTCACTGCCTCTACTGCCGCAGTGTGAGATGGTGGTGAAGATGAGACACAAAATGAGGGCAAAAACAAAAACAAGCACACGTTTCAGCAGAAATGTAGAGCTGTCACAATCAATCATTGGGATTGATGTTAGAAATAAAGGTTCTCTGCAGGTACATTTTTCGTTCATCAAGGTACAAACAGTGTAAATGTTCCCTCAAAGGTACAACAGTGGTTTTAAGGTCTGATTGTGAACCTTAAATAAGTGTTTCCAGGTGAAAAGTTCGTATTTGTACCTTTTCATAACCGAATGTTTAAAACAGAACAGTAAAATAAAAGCCTGGAGACGAGACGGGGTGTGTGGAGTCAGTACAGCTTAGAACATATCATTTCAGTGGATTATGGTTCAGTTATGTTCCCTGACTAAAGGTACTGAGATGAACCTTGAGGGTCCCACCCCAGTGACAGGAGGGGTACTCAGAGCCCGAGCCAGTTTAGTACCTTTATTTCTGAGAGTGTATTGATTGTTATGAGTTTAACCAAATAATCTGTTTTAAAATAAAAATGGGCTTAACTGAACAATCATAATGTGCAGAGGATCTCAAAAATACCAGAATACTTTACTGAAAAGGCTAAAAAAGGTAGCCTGAGTATAAATAAACCACTAAGAGACAAAAATGCATAAAACATGCATCTATCAGGCCTTCTTACTGTAAGAGAAACCAATAGGAACACTGGAAATATGCAGCAGCAAAATACCTGCAGGTATTCCACTCATTCTTCTAAATTCCTGTATAATTAAACGGTTAAGATGTAAACAGAGTCGTTCAGAGTGGTTTGGTGTGAAACGCTCTGCTCTAGAGAAACTTACCGAGTCAGAACTGTTCACAGTGGTGGGGGTAGGTCGTTCAACCTTCTAAATAGCCTGAGTAACTTCACTAGAATAATGCTAATTTCTGTTAGCGCGCCTATGGGAATTTTTGTTAACGCTAAGCTAGCGGAGGTGTACATTTCCCACCCTGGGTTTAACACTACTTAGGTCAGCTCTGCTCAAACTGGACATTTGAAGCATTTGAAACTCAGACCAACCACAGGTTTCAAATGACCTGCAGAATTGCAGGTTAATTACTAGGCCAATTCATTTTAACTGTTAACAATTTTAATCGAGTCATCGATTCTAAACGAGTTATTGTGACAGCCCTACAGAAATGCAACAGACAAACAGTACAGTGGTGAGACACAAACACACACTAAAAGCATGCATATTAATTGCACTCTTCACTCCATGATGGTGAAACATGTTCTGAAGGATGTCAGAGAGCTTGACAGAGACACGCCTGAGGAAAGCACTACAGCAGAAAAGGTTTTCAAAACACAGCAGCATCAAAACAGACATGTAGCCACTAACAGAGGAGCTTCTACAACAACATCTCAACCACAGCCTACCATCTACAAGCCCTGCTGAGTGCTAGGGTTGCACTGATACCGATACCGCATACATATCAGACTCCATACTGGCACTTAAACACAGAATACACAATACCTATGTCTGATACAACGAAGCAATTTCTGACGTGCATGCATGCACACCAATAGATGGAACAACATGTTGGCGGCGTATGTTGACAAGCAGAGGTAAAAATGCTCATGGCAAAATCTGTAATGCCAGTATTTCTTGGAATGGCAATAACGGTGGGAGGAATCTTCCTAAAGTCCTTGTTTCATAAATTTGTCACAAATACATCAGATAACGCAACATACGAACAGCGTAAAACACTAAGGGAAGCCCATAAACTCTACAGCTGAACCAAACTTCTTTCAGTAATCCCATATCTCAAACTGTGTGTCTGAGTTAATGTTAGTCCAGGTTGTTATCAAGGAAGCGAGTGTAAGGGAGAAAATTGGAAGGAACAGCTGGTCTCTTGGGGTAATGATAACCATTAGCCTTGGCTTAGCCTTTAGCAGCCTGTTAGCCGGACTTGTGCGTCCACTAGCCCCACCATTCATTCAAGCATGTTTTATCTGTTATACAGAACACAGATTTCACCAAAATAATATATTTAAAAATGAAATTGTGTAATCTGATTTATACACTAGTTAGGTAGGATAGGTTGGTATAGTGTAGTGGGTAACACCTCTGCCTCTGCCTTCTACGCTGTAGGCTGGGGTTCAAACCCCTGCCTGGGCAAGCCT